GAGAAACTTACTGAGAAAATTTCGACTTTAAATAAAGTATTTATTGTGTACGGAATTTTATGTTAATTAACCAATAATTTCAGCCTTTACTATAACTTCTCCTTTCCATATTCCACGCCAGATTGCAAATGAGTAGCAAGCGTTTAAAATGAGGCTTTTGGATTTTAAGACAGAACATGTTTCTGGCTTCGCATGTGAGCTACATTATTATTCGTATTTGTGCTCTATCGCTGCTGACGCTTTAATTCTGACGCTCTGATAGAGATACGTAATAAGCCAGCTTCTAGTAGCATTCAATTATGGTAGTCCTTGACTACTGTTTAACAGTGACGACGGTTAAATTTATTTTCATCATCACGTGTGTTAGCACCACAGTCTGCCCTTATGTTTCAAGGTTTTGTTTAAATAAAAAGGTTATTATAACCTTCTTAAGCCTTTCTCGTTATCTCAAACATAAAGATAACTTGCTTCACTTGTGTTACGGTTTATAGAACTAAAATAGCGTTATCAGATCAAATGTAACCCTACAATTTGATTTTCTTTGTTCAAATTAGAATTATTTTAGTTCAAATAGAAACTGGCTGTATTTATAAGAATAAAAGTAATTCCGCTACTTAATTTTGTTGAAAGAAGGCATATTTTACATTGTTTTGCTGTCAGAAAATCATTTAATTTTTCAACTACGTAAATTTTCAAATTTTGTTGAAGTAAAATGAAAAAATAACGAAATTATAAAACTTCTGTTGCAATAAAAAAGTGTTAATTTGTTCTACAATAAAAGACAATGCAATTATCGGAAGTTTTCAGATACTTCGACTGACTCTCCAGGAATTGGCTATAAAAATACTTTCAATAGAAATTTATTTCTTTGTTTAAATACGGAAAATAACACGAGGTCTGTTCCAATAAAAAGAACTCCATGAAGTTATATTTTTCATTAACATCAGTTTTTCTTCCCCTGGATGGTGGCAAAGCTTCACTTTTAGAATCAACGTTCTATGATATGCAAATTCACAAGTTGTCACAGTAAAATTTAAAACTTTCTTTATGATAGATTTCTTTCTTAATTTTCCAAAGCTATTTAAATAAGATTTCAGAAATTAATATCTTTTCATTGCCCATTACTGCAAATGATAAATCAAAGCAAAACTAGACGTGATTAGATTAGATAATTAAACTAAATGTAGTTAGATGTTAAATGTAATTTTTATTCGCAGAAGTTCAACTAAATTATTATTTCGGGTAATGTTTGTCGGCGTGGCTTAAACATATTTATAGTAGTTTTTATTACACTTATAAAATTTTCTACAGGGGCATAAATTCTGTTAAACTACTATTTCAAATTCAAATCTTTATAAAATGAAGTAACTTTTGTTTTTGGACACGTATTCATATTAATTTACACTCGTTTGCCACGGGTGAGATTTTAACTACCATCATATGTAAGTACTGATGAAATGTAATTTGCTTATATTTATTTTTATCGCTTAAATAATTAATGCATCGATTTCAAATTTTAATACCATAATTATATTCCCTTTATCTCTTAAGTAAAAAATTGTTTTTATGATTGGTTTTCCTAATACGTAATACTAATACGAGTCAGTTTTCTTTCAAATTCCTCTTTAAAGGGCATCCCTCTTCTTAGGTACGGAAAAGTTGTATGTTTGCCATATCCAAATAACCTAACCTAAGAAATATTTGTTTTCTACTTAAAAATCTCTTAATAAAGAAATTGAGTTACTTGAACAATACAACTTAAATAACTGCATATATAAAAATATGACATAATTTAGCAGAAGAAAAGAACTAATGTAATAAATTGTAGAAATAATCTCAGAAATTTATATGAAGGAAGTATATAAAAAAGCTCAGCGTTGAAAAGTAATATGCCATTTCTAAAATTATAATAATTACAAAATTTCGTTAAAAACTTATTATATAACTAGGGACTTGTTATGGAAATCACTTGCTATTATTTGTAATGTTACGCAAGGTACCACTCATAGAAGTAGGTAATGAATTTGTGAATTCAATTAAAAAAAAATATGAGAGCACGACGCAACGTGCAGAAAACAAATTCCTTTTTTACAGTATTTTTCAATAGTAAAAGCAAAAGATGTTGAATTATATCTACTATATATAATTGACTCCCTAAATTAAAATTTTAAGCAGCAAGACAATGAGAATTAACTTTTGCTGAAGCCTTCCGCACTCTTGTTAATACAAATAACATGCATTGTCCAATAAATTAGAAACCCAAGATCAATATTTTATTGGACCACCTTTTACACGGATAACTGCTCGGATTCGTTTGGGCATCGAGTCTACATGCTTCTGGAGTGCATTTGAGTCCAGCGAATACCATGCATTGGCAGCTTTTCAGATCTTGTAAATTAGATGGAAGAGGAGAGGGCTGTCAGATGCGTCTTTTTACCACATCCCACAGATTTTCTATGGGGTTAAGATTCGGGCTATGCGATGGGCAGGGAAGGTGCTGAAAGTCAGACTGATGTTCAGCGAACAAATTTTGAACACTCCTGGTACGATGTATAGTTGTATTATCGTCTCTGAAGTATCCGTCGCCATCAGGGTAAAAAATGCAACATTGCATGCTGCATTTGATCTGCCAGTATATCTAGGTATCTCATGGCTGTTTGCTTACCCAGGAGGAACACCAGGTCATCCCTTCCGTGCCAGCAGAACATGCTGCATATCATAATACTCCCACCAGAGCCTTCCACAATGCCAGTAAGGCAAGATGGATTCATGGCTTCCTGGGTTTTTTATCAAATTTGACGTCTTCCATCAGTGCAAAATGGGGTATAGCTTGATTCATCCGTTTCTAATCCTCAGATGTCCAGTGTCTTCTTTCCTGACACCACTGCAAACGAATTCTTACACGTCGGGAAAAATGAGTAGTTTTCTCACAGGCACCCGACTATGCATTCCTCTCCTCTGCAAATGTTCTGCGCATGGTTCGAGTTAAAATCTGTTGGGAAAAGCTCTGGCTGACGATCTGTGCCAGTTGAATCACAGTAGAGTCCTGTTCCACCGTACAATTCGTCGGAGACGGCGCCGATCACTGTCTTGGAAAACTGTGCTGGAACCGCAATTATGTCTTCAAGAGAAGGACTGTGGCTTCCGATTCCAACTTTGAAAACCTTTGATACAGCTGCTTTTGAGAACCTAATGAGATTTGCTGTCTTCGAAATCGAGGCTTCTGCTAAACGGGCACCAACAATAAGCCCTTTTTCAAATGTTGAAAAATCTGTCGTTTTCCCCATTTTACTTCATTCATCGTGAAAAGCACTCTTACCCCTTACTTATACTAGCATTCTAACCCCGCCTAACCCACGTCATAAAAAAAATTTGGATACTTCATCCCTAGCACGCATTCAAATGAAAATCTCAAAGGTTTCTAATTCATCGGCCAGTGTGTGTAAAAGTAAATCGATTGTCAATTCATTATTTCTTTTTTTCATGACTTTTAAATTATACTTTTTATTATTATATATTGATTATTATTGATATCATTCACATCAATATACAACAAACAGAGTTTACATGAAAATTTAGCTATGACGAGATGTTCAGAACTGAAAAAAGTAGTCTCGAAAATCCTCAAGACTAAATAACGTTATACTAAACTTATGATACCATTACACGCCGAACAAGTACTAATTTATAAGTCAAACAACAAAAATCAGCGTAATATTTTCAAATTTTCATAGGACAAAAATTTGAAAGTCCTTTGAATTAGTCCTGTGAAAATTTGAAAATATAACGCTGATTTTTGTTGTTTGACTTTGAAATTAGTGCTATACTAAACTCTTTGGCCAGCCTCTTTTGATAACACTAGATACGGTAGAATGTGTGTGCATTCATCATAGAATACAGTTCCACGATTTCTTATTATCACACCAGCTATTAGTATAAAAAATAATTTATTTCGAAAGGTTTGTTGAAACATTTAACAATAATCGATGGGGGATTAGAGCGTGGAAACATTAAGTATCGTAGACTTGAGCAGGTTCAGGGGGCAGGGATACTTCCCCATAAAGACGAATTACTCGAGCAAGGTCATGAAAGATCAAGGTGGGGATAGAATTTTCTTGTGGTCACATCAAATGTTTGACTTGTATGTGACATCCATGCAAAATTCACGTCCACATCACAATGTGAGCTCTCTTTGACGTTGCATCGTAGTCACAAATGCAGTGTGATGAAAATATAATGTTGGGATGTCACAGAAATTAGGTGTGCTGTATGGGTGCTACAGACTTCTTGTCGACATCGCCTTTTCCCTCGAAGTCTTGAACTCTAATGAATACTAACCAAGAATAATAATTGAATTAATACGTTTATTGATTTGCCATAATATCTTAACTATTAAACAAGTCCATTTATTGTTTTCGTAGTTGCAGTATCATTTCTAGTTTAGGGTCATAATGTTTTTTACAGCAAGAAACATAAACAAATAGTAATGCCGTCGCTGGAATTCTTCCAATTACGCTATGAAGACTCGCTATAAAGAAAGACAAAATTCCGTATATTTTAGCCCACTTAAAGAGTGGGAAATATAAGGTATTTGGGCACTGGGTCCCTTCTTTCGAAGAAAAAAAGAAGTGCTCAAATCTTAGTGGTGACAAATTATCGTCCACCCCGTATTACTTCGGCGCCATTTGTATAGTCATTGGTTTTTTTTTTAAAGCCGGGAAGTATGAAAAATCAGACACTCCTCGTTGGGACTCGAACTTCGGACAAATACAACACGATGGCACGCGGTAAGGATGGGGAAAATTACTTCCAATATAAACCAGGTACTTATAGATAGCATAAATTTTACGTAGGGTGAGATGAATCATCAGTATAATGCTTTTGGTGATTTACTAGTTTATTTTTCCTTTTTTTTTAAGTGAATATTATAGAATTGTGACTTATTTTCAAATATTTTGTAACTTAAGGATATTCTATGTGTAACTTTTATTTATTTCCAGTTGGCATTTGTGTCAGTCAAGAGCAAATGGAAATGACTACATCTAAATTTCATTTTTCTACTGAAGAGTAAGTGCAGTAAATAATTTTAATTCTAACGGTGTGTGAAATTTCCACTCTAAAACTTTGACTATACAATTTTTTTTTAAAATTTATACGGAACTACTGAAATTCTTCAACAGCTGCACATTCAGAAGTTCTCTTTCATTCTATTATGCGTCTTTCATCATCCATCTTTATCTTCAGGGATGCTTAACTACACGGTAGCACAACATGACCGAAATGTTAATAAACATTTACAAATTTTACATTTCAGTTAATTTACAAGTGTAATAATGAAATTAATATTGAAATGCATAAATTATGCTTTTATTCGAAAACTTAAATTACATTTAAGCTTTTTTTTGTTTAATCGAATATTGAAAAGCAGACTAGGGCTATCTGCCTAAGGGAAAGGATGCTTTCGTGGAGGAATGTTTAATGAAAATCAGCTCATATTCATGTTGCCCATGGGAAAATGCACAAAAGCACCCAGAAAGCAACCCTTTTGTCGGGGTTCGAACCCAAACTGAACTACCAATATTCAACTGTTTTATCCTTTCGATCATTAGTGTTCCTATATAAACTTATTTTTGAAGTCTCACTGCCACAGGTCAGCGTATAGCTTTTATGAGATAACAATGCTTCTAAATTGAAAGAGATGAAACAATTGGATTTATGACATTAATATAGGATGGAACAATCCCTCACATTTTATTAGGTGTTATATATAAATTTCGGTGAAAAGGGAGGAATAAGATATCACATTCAATAATCTATATGGCCAACCAGAACTTATGATTTAAATCTTTATGATTTTTCGTGATGACGGTACCTGAAAGTATAAGGTTCAATTTAGCTACCAAGTTATTTTTATGTTAATTTCTTTCTGTGCCTTCTATTTTTTTCTGTCAAATATCAGATTAAATACTCAGATTAAGTTTTATTCCTATAAAACGTAATCTGAGTTTATACAGCTAACAAATTTATATCTGAGAAAGGAAGAGCTGTGGGAATCCCCCAGAAAAGCTATTTATTTCTGAGACATCCACCTATGTGCCGATTTGGGTTTTGGTGAGTGATTTTGTATATGTTAAAGTTAAAAGCCGCGGTAGTTAGAATCCAATTAGCAAAGCGATGGAATTACTTCCTATGTTACACGTCTTCCAATATTTGAGTTCCTGAGAGCTATGGCTAATTTTTGTTAAATTTTAATTGAGCTACAAGACGTGGTTTTTAACAGACATTTTAAATAAGTTTTACCTTCGATCTGTTTTTACAGTTTAGACTAGTAAGTGTAAAGATGAGAATTCAGTTAAACACAGAATGGTTAAATATGCGCAGTTAAATACTTAACTAGTTATAACCGCAAAACGCCAGAATACTTACAAAAGGCTTGCAAATAGCATCGTTAAAGATGCTATCCGACGCTACATGTAAATGACCCTTAAAGAAATGCTTTTCATGCTACTCGTATCTTTTGTTCGATAAAGGGGATCTTTTCAGTCGCTTTCTGCCGCAGATGAAGAGTTGCCTTATGAAAACAATTTTGTGTAATAAAACTTCAAAATTTTCAGTATCCAAATAGTAATTTCTGGCCAAATGATAATGGTATCCAAGGCCCAAATAATAATTTCTGTGCTGATTGCATTATCATATACAGGGTGTACCGTAAATGTTGCGACAAACTTTTAGGGGAGGTAGCGCACATCATAAGGATTAAGAATTGGATAGGAACCCAGAAATGTCAGGGGTAAGTAGTAGCAGAGGTAGAAGATGGAAAAAGAAGCAAGAGTGATTAATTTGAAACATTTATTTTACATGCATACAAATGGTGTACTACAGCTTGAATGTTACAACAGTTGCTCAAAGTTTACACCATCAGACGACAAATATGCTTGACACCGACGGACCATTTGAATGCCGCGAATTGTTTGATCTTTCTGGAGCAGGTTCTTCCCGATTTGCTTGAAACGATATTCCACCAAATGTGAGGCTCAACATGTGATTCCAACATGATTGGGGGCCCCTGCTCATTCGTAGCCATTTGAACAGATCATTCTCGCATCGATGGACTGGGCGTGGTGGACCAGTTCCCTGGCACCCACGCTCACCTGATTTATCGAGCCTTGATTTCTTTTTGTGAGAAGCCATCAAAAGTGTTTTGTATCACGATCCTGTTGTGTCTGAAATAGATCTCGGGGTAAGGCTCGCCTGCGCAGCTACTACAATCAAAGAAACTCCTTGTGCGTTTGAACATGTACGGCAATAAATGGTTGTCGGTGTCAGCCATGTTTGGCGTCTGATGGTGTAAACTTCGAGCACCTGTTGTAAAATTCAAGCTGTAGTACATCATTTGTATGCATGTCCAATAAATGTTTCATATTAATCACTCTTGTTTCTTTTCCCATCTTCTACCTCTGCTACCACTTACCCCTGACATTTCTGGGCATGGGTTCCTATGCAATTCTTAATCCTTATGATATTCCCTACCTTCCCTAGAACTTTGTCGTAACATTTACGGTACACTCTGTATAGAAAAATAATTGAAACAGAAGTTATTTAAAAATTTGCTGACTTTTAAATCACTCTGTACTTTGTCATTTGCTACTGGCAAACTGTTAAATTAATATTATCAGGCTGGCAAATTGCAGAAGACAGGTACTGATACTGATAGCGCTATCCATGTGTCAACGTAACGAAAGGCATTATACATACATTTACATACACTCTGAGATGGAATCACAGAAATACCTCAGATGATTGCACAAATCAGCAAGAAGCGTCAGATATTAGGGAACGAATGTTGTTGTTTTGTCCATATACTTCACTGAAGAATGGATGGCTGCGCCTCAAGGAGATTGGACTTCTACTTTCCACCCCAGTTTTAAAGTTTTAAAGGAATGTAAGATTTTCTACGGAGATGAGCCGCTTAAAAGAACTAATAGAATAATCAAAAGTCCAAAATTTTACATGATATTTATAAAGATTCGCCGTAGTTGTAGTGGCCTTGTTGTAAAATTTGTAATTCAGATCATTGATGTAGTCCACAATATGAGAGGTTTTAAGATCTGTGTGCCTGATGCTTTCTGTTTTCTAAGAATTATTTTGATGAACTTGATGGTGTCGGAAATGCACTGAAAAATATTATTCTGCAGAGTTTGAAACAAGAGACAGTGACAAAGAGCTTGCCAGTGTACAAAGCAGGCGACTCTTAAGTGATGATGCGTGGAATGACCATGATGTAGATTCTCCGCATCTTAACATTCTCAGTCTTTGATGATGGCTTTTTTAACATACATTGATAAAGTGAACCTGATATTGATTTTCACAATGGGATAGTTATCAGAATCATTTCGTAATTTTCCGCTATAAAGCACAAGTTCTCTGAAAATACTATATTTCCCGCGTCTTTTGATGGCCAAGATTCCTGATGAATACGGGATTCCTGGAATTTAATCATATGCACTTAAAACTGATTGTAGCATAGAAAGATATAGCAAAATGTAGGCTATAATGAAAAGAATATTATAATCGTTTTAATTACTACTTATTCCTCCATGGATTTAATTCATCACTGATGCAACTAGCAATGTGTATAACGGAAACGCTTTGCAGGACTAATGATACTCATGAAAAGTAAATCTGTCTAAATTTCTGAATCTTTTACAAAATATAATATCTTCGATTGAAATTACCCCTATGCAAATTACTGTCTTTGGGTGTTAAACATAAAGCTTCTACATCATTTGAACAAAAATATGTCATGCAGTGAAGCTTTTGTCCATGAAATGCAGGAACAGATTAGGAACTTTCAGTTGGGTTGTGATTGCCAGTAAATAAGATACAGGCTAGTCACAAAGCTGTACCGGCATATTTGTTTACAATGAAATACAGTTCTACTACAGCGTGGAAGTCATTGAAAGCAGTTTTGTTTTATCAACGTGACATTTGCGATTGATGTTTAGAGTTCACTATGAAACATGAAAGTCATCCTCAACGCTTCTGTAGTCTATTTCTTGCTTGAATTTCAGTTTAATCGAAACATAAATTTGAAATTCAGAAGTTTGCAAATTTGAACTCCGTCAGGGCGAAAGTGCATATATTGCTTTCTTTATAATATTAGGATATTTAAAAGAAACATGCATTCTAACAAGGAATATACAGTAATATTAACATTATACTGTCTATTAAGATATCTTCAGTTCTAAAACACATAATTTGAATCTTGCCGGCTCTTATTGTTGTCCACTGCTAATATTAAGTGCTGTTTTTGTAGTCTGCTACACATTGCAAGTCATCGTCATTGTCACAGCTGTAATCGTCTTTGTCACCATTCAGTTTGTCCTCCCACGTGCAATTATCTTCAGAACCATCAAGAACATTAGATATCCCCGTTTCCTTTTAAGCTTTCACTATTACTGCATATGCAATCCCATGCTGCAAGTTCCCCAAGAAATTCAATTAGTAAGACGAAAATTATCTCTACGTAAACGAAAATGCATTTGAAAATTTAAGGAAGCTTGCTTTCTAAACGTCTTGAAGAAGGACAAAAATTCTGTGACTATTTAATCAGAACCTCGTGCTAAAAAGCTGATAGAAAAATATACGAGAAAAGAAATACGGTAGAAAATACGATACATGTTTAATAGCCTGGCAATGTGAGTAAGGAGCAAAGGCCTCTTGAATCAAACCTGGGAGTAATCGTGAGAGACGAGTTGCAAAGCCATATGCTGGATACTTTTCCCTCATATCCAACGTGCGCTTTCACCCAAGAAAGGTTTTGTTTGATGCTGTGTGAAATGATCCCTATAGGAATCTTTTCACAAAACATCAGGAACTGAAAGAACCTATAGAGATCCGATATTCCTATATATATCCGAACCTATATATATCCGATATTCAGGTTCTGAATATCGGAAACTCGGCTGGTCCGGGCTGGAGAGGATTTCTAATGCTGATGGGGAATCGGAATAAATCTGAATTGTGTACTGCCTAGCTAAATTGCTTTTTATTCAATTCATCGCTTTTAAGATGGCGGCTTTTTTGGCTCTATAAAGAGAGTTTAATTCTTCTAAATTATATTTTTTATTTTCTATTTCACATCTATGAAAATACACAACAAAAGCCAATCCAATTACCTCTCCATTCGCGGAGCCATCCGTATATATGTCAACTTCTCCTATTGTTGGTGTCATATTAATATAAGCGATTGATATTCTTTCCTTTTGGTGAACTAAATTGATATCAGTTTAAGGTATCGGGGCACACCTGTGGCCAACTCAGTAAAACATTTTATCGGGATATCTTGAAAATGTTTCTGAGGGGATAAATGTGATGATGGATGAATGTGAGTGTGATGAATAATATTTGTGAAATATTATTCATCTTCCTCCAGAGCGCTTAATATCATATGCGAATACATTCGCAGGATATACATGTCTTATCGATAGAGTTTACAACATTACTGGGATTTAAAATCCTGCTTACTATATTCTTAAGATAGCCCAGAATATCTCAGTTATTTCCCAAATGCTTCCATCCACTGTCTCACTAGCCTCAAAGCATATCATCAGGGTTTAATGAAATAGTTTAACAATCTCATGAGAATCACTGCTCTGGAATTTCAGGCCACTAAAAGAAATATTACTAGACTGTCAGTTAAAACAGCCAACATGAGGATGGCAGGAACAAGGATTTTATAAAGGCAACTGCAGTACGTGTAGGTTCCGTGAATGAAGCAAACTGCTGAAGCAGAAAGTTCTGAGATATGGCACATGAGTTCAGTAACACCTAGAAGGATGATGTCTCAAAAGGAAGACACATCTTACGCAGTGACAGAATTGGAACAGTCCGATAGGTATCAAATGACTCAGCTAATTCAGTTCCTCTCTGTTCACGTGCTCACCACAGTTGTCTGCCTTAGACTGCATAAAGAAAGATTTAAATATTTAGAGTCTCTTAAATCTTTCATCTGTTCTAGCGTGTAGCCTGGAGATCCAGCAGCGGTGCAGATAAATACCGTGTATAAGCTGAGAGAGTTTTGCAGATGCTTTGCTAGTAAAACATGCAGGTAGGTTTACACACGATTTTGAAATATTTCGAAATGACTTACAAATATTTCGATGCCAAAAATGAATAATCTATATATAATTTTTGCAGTTTTCCTGAGTTAGATACACGCTATTTGTTTTCTATGATCTCATATAACAAAAATGGCAGAACACTACAAGTACCGGTGGCGAATCTCTCAAGTCAGATTGGTGCAACTTGGCAATAGGCATTTGAAATACGAAGCTGACAAGGGCTAGAATATTTACCGAATTCTCGCTTTCAGTGCTATCATTTCGGTTATTCTGGGGTAAGCATACTCAGTTAATGCAGCTGGGTGTATTAAATGGCTCCTGTACACAATTATTCATTGTAACTAACTACTGAATGTTTTTAATAATTGTGGTACAAGATTCATAACTTTCCGGCCTCCTATTAACAAACTGTTTGGTAATAAATTTTGGATGTACTGGCAAATTTGAGTAATTTTGAAAGTTTCAATAACATAACCGTTTCTGTTCTTTTGTGATGGTTATTTAAGTAGGTATTCTGCAAGATTTTCGGAAACGTTTAAAATTAAGTACCGTAAAATGACTGAATTTTTGACAACAGAAGATCTAAATCATAATGAAATAAAACGAGGTTTGGATGAAGCAGTGGTGATTCCAATGCTTCGCATTCATGAAAACACTAGCAATACAAAAGATTGCTTGTTGATAAAGAAAGATTGAATGACAAGAAGTTTTAAACCAAAGAGATAGCAGTACCGTTATGTCTCTCTAAAACAATTAATCTCGCACATTCTACATAAATACCTTTACAACACGAACAAAGCTTCTATGAGGTGGGTGCCCCGACTTATGTCAGGGATTTAAAACAAAAACAGTCATTCAGTTGCTACAAGAAGCTTTTGCAGTTTCACAGTGCAAATAAAAGAATTTTTTACAGTTAGTCGTAACAGAGGATGAAGCCATGGTTCTATATTGTGATGACCTCTCAAAGAAGGAATCCATGGAGCGGAGAAAACAAGGAAAAGCTCCGCAAAGTAAACAAAAATGCAGAAATCGACAAAAACATTATGGCTACAATTTTTTTGGAACTGCTAAGCAACCTTATGATAGATTAAAGAAAAAAAAAACGATTGCAAATCGGAAATATTATTCAAATCCTTTTCACAAGCTACGTATTGAAATTAAGCTTAAATCCTGTAGTGTGTTAAGTTAAGAAATTCATCTTTTTTATGATATTGCTTCAGTCCGAACAAATATCATTGACAAAGAAACAGTATTGAGATGTGGATGCCAGGAGATTGACCATTCCCTCTTGAATAAAACCAACGATCACACCTCATATAAAGTCATATCTAGCTTTGAAACAGAGCTTCGTGGAAGACGGTTTAATGATGGTTAAGAGGTGATAATAGTAGTGATGGAACATTTTTGCTAATAGATCGTTAGATTAATTTTTAAAGATTTACAATTACCGATTAGAATATGGGAAAATGCATCGAAACACAAATAAACTGCATTAAAAAATAAACAGGTCGGTTTCTCTGTTTCGTTTAGAAGTACAAAAAATTTTGGGTCTAATCTCATGGTATCAATATGGTGCAGTGCCTTCTACAGTAGAAAATTAAATTAACATTCCGGCCAAAAATATACATCCTTGAGCTTCCATTTCGGATTCTTTTTCTTTCCGTATACGTAAAATATATATTAAAAAACCAAACAGAGAATTGTTTTTGTTTCGAAAAATAAATAAAATATTTTAATACAGAGGATTTTACATTAAAATAGATTTTAATTTAATAAATCCCGTATTTTAATACTAGCTATTGTACAAATTACTTTGTCTAAATGATATTTAGTTTGAAGACGATATTTTGTTATTATTATTTTTATTTAGCGTTAAAAGTCGTCACATTACTAGGTTGAACAACATTTTAATGCTCTTACTGGAAAAAATTCAAAGCATTCAGGCTTCGAAAGACATAGTAAATCCAGAAGTCATCATAAAAGTAAGTTGTCATTCTGAAAATCTATTTCCAAATAATATTCCCAAATCTTTTAACTCAGAATTCTGTGAAAAAAGTAAGTTCTTATTAGAATAATTAAATGTTTATTAAAAATTGCTGATGTTAGACGACAACATTTAGCATGCTTGTAAAGCGTTTGCCCCTCCTTACCATATACCTTCGTGGTGTAATTAGAACCATGTCCATCTAGAATTCGGGAGCTTCGGAATTCGAATCCCGGAGAGGGCTTAGCTGGTTCTTCATGTTTCCTGCTTCGAATTAAATCTCTACACATTCATAAATGTGATTTTTAGTCCTGTGAAGGATATCTTAAATAGAAGAAGAATCTTGATAACTGTATATATTGATTTAAAATCTACATACGATTTAGTTTTGAAAACAAAACTGTTTGTTTAAATTAACTGGAAAAGTAGTCAGCGCTCAACTACCTGTGATCCTTCTTAAATGAAAAAGAACAACAACAGCATTCTAACTAAAATAGCCACAAGACTGGTTTGTCTCAAGCTGTCATACTAAGCTGCACTCTATCGAACTATACCTAAATACTGTCTCCGGAACCAAGTGTATCCTTCTTACTGATAACCTATTATACGAAGTCTTCAAGAAAAACAAATTATAAGATTTCGTAAGGTCTTATTTGAAATGGATTTAAAGTGCTTTTATTTAACTTAGTCACTTAAAAGATGACGAACGAAGTTTCAATATGTGTTACAGTAACAGCTCAGTTTCGGTCCATGCTCTGACAAGAAAGTTTAGTGTAACGCTTGTAGTTTCCTGTGTGATTCTCCCCGTAAGGTAGTCAAGCTATGAATTCTTTCATTATAAACCTCATTTCTGACAAAGCGCTAGAGAAAAAAATGTAGTGAAATGTAAGATGAGAACTCCTTGCGGGCAATGGGAAAGGTCTGTTTCTGCCAATGCAATCACGCTGGAAATTGACGAGTCAACTCGTCTCGCATATGATTTGTGTATTTCCGGGGCTCTTTGCCTTGAAGAAACAAGATCTGCAGTTCAACATCTTTTACTTCCATTTCCCGATTTTGGGAACAAAAAGCTCTTTAGCATGTTCAAGTATACATTGAAGTTGGTATTAGTTTACAAAAAAAGAAAAGGTTTTCTTTTCTTTTTTTTCAAGTTAAATTATTGTTTTTCCTTAGGTTGTACACCAGACATTAACCATAAGAAAATCTTCAATGCGTTCAGTTACACGCGCATTTTTAGAGACTCAAATACAGTAATTGCGGCGCTTTCTGGAACTGTTTATAAAAACGGGGTATCATTCGAGAAGAGGAATTTTGAAGAAATTCTGGTTCATTGTCTAATCTGTGTAGCATTCTAACAGTGAAGGTAATCCTTTTGTCCTTTTAATGTAGTTTGACTGAATGCAGCAGTGAATTTTATATGAACTAATGCAAAGTCTGTCTCTAACACATGACGTCGTACACAACAAAAATACTTGCAGATAATTTTCTTGAATAACTAAATTAAATAAAAGCTCTTTCAAACCATTTTATATAATGCATACTTCCTAGACGAGCGCGTGATATCTCACCATTCATTCTAGACCCCGCACGAACTGAAGAATGAAGAAAGTGGCAAAAATTATATAAAAGTAACTACAAAGTAAAAAAATTGATGATTAAGTTATAAAATTCATGCCGTAATAATAATATCATTACAGGTCAGAAATTATTTACATGTTAGGAATTAATGTTAATCAATGTTAGGAATTAATGTTGAATTGGTTCTGTTATAATAATATCATTACATGTTAGGCATCAACGTTGATGAATGTTGGCAATTAATGTTGAATTACATGTTAACCCTCGTTACTGCGTGTTCCTCCCTCCTTGCAGTGTGTATTGGTGCTGTAATCGGAAAGCACGTCTGGTTAACATCGGCAGCTCCGGAATTCGAGTCCCGCCGAAAGTAATGCTGATGTTCCACGTTTCTTGCTCCAAAATAAAACGCCTAATAGTCTCTATAAACTTATCATCATACATCCAAACGCAGAACCATTGTGCAAGAATCGGCAAGCTCATTAATTTGATTAATATAATTATTAACATTTATTAAAATTTTAGATCATAAGCTAAAATAATAATAAAAAAAATCTGAAAGGTTTCAGATTTTAAATTTACGTCCAAAGGGACTTTTTTAACATTTTGTGTGTTACCTTTATTCATTAAATATCATATCCTACGTACTCAAACTATAAAATTCAGTTCAACAGCAATATCGCAAATTAATTTTAAAATGAGCATATCTTTAGAATTTCCGATACAGAGTCTCGCGCGGTGGAGATAAATTTTTTTTCCTTACAGTGTTGCCATTGCTCGGTTTTAAATGGTTTAGTTTTCTAATCAAAAATTCGTTGAAGTGTTACAAAATCTGAAATTGATAATAAAACAGATTTCAAATTCAAATTAGGGCTTCCACATGCCGATATTCTATGAAAGATTATGTTATTCAAATTTTGATGGCTTTATTTACTATTGTTTTATTACAGTGCGAGAAACATACATACATTTATGCAGATTCTTCATTATTTAATTTCTTTAAATATAAGACAGGGCGATAATATATGGTAGCAACGATTTGAAAAGTAATACAGCCTTATTAAGTTTTCAACGCAAAGTGCCAAAACGAAGTTAATAGTCCTTCAGGGCAAGTTGCCCCTTTGGACTAAAAATTATAGCCAATTCGTCGATTTTTTTAGCCCAAAGGAGCGTTAGTTCAGAAGGGCTATTAATTTCGTTTTGGCATTTTGTGTCGATTCAATAAACGGCGAATCACTTTTGAAATTGTTGCCACCAAATATTATTACCCTGTATTATATTTAAAGAAATTAAACAATGAAGATTCTGCATAAATGTATGTATGTTTTTCGCATTGTGATAAAACAACTGTACATAGAGCCATCCAATTCTGAATAACGTACATCTCCACCCGAATATCGTCACCTGGAAGCCCAAATTTGGAATTCGTTTTATTACCTATTTCATATGCTGTAAAGCATTTATGAGATTTTGATTAAGAAACTCAACTATTTCAAAGCGAGTCATGGCAAAACTGTACGAGGGAAAAAAAAAATTATCGCTAGTTCGCGAGACTGTGTATACCGGAAATTCTATAGATATGCTCTTTTAAATATTTTGCGATATTGCTGTTGGATTGAATTTTATAGTTTAAGCGCGAATAAAATGATATTTAATAAATAAAGGTAACACCCAAAACGTTAAAAAAATACTCTTTGGGCGTAATATAAAACCTGAAAGCTTTCAGACTTTCCCCCCCCCCCCGTCTTTATTCGATGGTGCAAAGAGTAAAATTCTGATATGTTTAATCTGTTCGTTAAACGAAGATATCCACGAAAAAAAGTTTAAACATTAAATTAAGGAATTTAAATATGATTTTGAAATAAGTCGCTTCATTAGATTATATTGCTATCGGTAAACAGTGTATGTATAAAATTTGAACGCAATAGCTTATCAAGAAACAGATTAAAAATCGATGAAAAAATTCCTCTTATGTGGACTGAATAAAAGCTTTTAAAAAACGTTCCACAGAATATTCTAATTTATAAAAGTTTTCTCTTTTGAAAAAGTTTGAAAAACGCTGATTTCAAAAGTGAAATAAGTATAATTAGTATTCAGAAGTATCGCCTAGTATTATTAATGTATAATGCTATACAAGACTACATTATTGTAATATGCGCTGTATAAGACTATATTATTTCAGAAACTTAAATGCATAAACGTATTTTTGGAATAAACGATACTTTGAGAATGCTTTTTTGAGAATAGCAATAAATTAACTTTAGTCTAATAGTAATAAAAAATATTATATTTACATAATGTGTTTACAATAGTAATTTTATTACATTTAACTATGGACTACCATCCTTCATTACGCTTTATATCTATTTCAGGCTGAAAATATCACGTGGATGATTAAAGAATTGGGAGGAAAAGTTACCGCGAAGAACATTAACCTTTTGGATAAAGTTATTGCTTCTCAAGAAGAAGGTTACACCAGATTTAAGCGAGATCTTTAGCACTGGCTATAGTTATGCTTTATTTCTTGTTCATTTGGCTCGGTTTCCAAATTTTTTCCAGTCTGATGTAATTGTTTTAGGATTTAACACTACGTTAAATCTCTGTATTAAATAAAAGTCTTAACTCTTCCACTTATTATGTATTACGAATTTGTTTTTAAATATCAGCTTTTTGTTGAAGGAGATACAGTAAAACTTGGCTCACAAACTTAATTCGTTCCTGAAGCTAGTGCACCCGAATTATTCGTAAATTGAAACAATTCTCCCTCCCGCAGGATTTAATGTAAAATGAATTAATCCATTCTCGATCCCAAGGAATTGCTTAGAAAAGAACACTTTGTATATAAGTTCGTAAAGCAAAACTTGTGTAATTCATTAAATGCAGACACTAAATATTTAATCCAATGCTAAGTATCTTAAAGGTAGAAGAACTTGTATTATATTTTACCGTATTTCTTCGAAGGAAAGTTGATTGCGTAAATAGAAAACGGCGAAGAAGCCAAAGCTCTAAAATGATGTTGTTTGGTTTATTTGATTATGGCAAAGCACTCGAGGGCTATCTGCCTAAGAGAAGGTATGCCTTCGTGGAGACATTTAAGGGAAACTGGCTCGTTCACACATTGGGAAAACCACGAAAACTGTTATTGATTGAAAGACTTAAAAATATGCGATAGCTGCTGTCTTTCTGTTCTTTTTTTTTTATCTCAAAAGGGACTATTTGTAAGTGGCATTTTGCGTCGGTTTACTATAAACGGCACATCACTTCTCAGATTGTTTCCATCAAATATTATCGCCCTGCATTATTTTTAAATTAAATAGTAAAGAATCTGCATATACGTATGTGGCTTGACTTGCGAAAATACGATGCTACCTAGAGCCATCATATTTTGAACAGCGCAGTCCTCCACCCGAATCTGTGCACCTGGAAAGCCAAATTTTGAATTTGTTTTATTATTTATTTCATAGTTTATAAAATTTTAATGAATTTTTGATTAACAAACTCAACGATTTGAAAGCGAACGGTGTGGCAACAATGTACGGAATAAAACATTTTTATCTCCAATGTTTATTATAAACGGCTAATCGTTAATCTATATCGGGAATTCTAAAAGTATGCCGTTTTTAAATATTTGTGATTTTGGTGTTGAATCGAATTTTATGTGGCCTAAGTGCCAAGAACGTGATATTTAATATATAAAGTAAACACATAAAAAGTTAATAATAAAAAGACAAAAAAATTGTTAGCCGTCTTACTAAGAAAGCTGAATATTGATATGATGAACTGAGAACAGAATGAAAAAAAATATAAAAATGTATGCCAACACTTACAATGAATGTATGAGGTATTTTAAACATAAACTGCTATGAAGCTTTAAAAAATTTTGCGATTTTAATGTTGAACTGTATGGTGTGAGTTCGATGAAAACGGTGCTTAATAATAAAGCTAAAAAAGTAGGTTAGTAAGAGCAGATTGATAAACTGCGAGCTCAAACAGAGTGTAACAAACCTTAGCAACCTTTGGCCAATCGTTAAAAGCTGAAAACATTCAGATTAATTATTTTTCTTTTTCTTTTCCCTCTCTCTTCTTTTTTCTTACATGGCTAACTTCTACTTAAGAATCGCTGGACCTTATTCTTGTTAAAAATTTGTTAAATGTGATTTATTTGTGTTTTAATTTTAAAATGTTCCTATAGCAAGATATGGCATTATCATTGCAAATATTATGTTACTCCTTTATCAAGCTGATAGTGCTTTCCACCTTACTCCATTCTCCACAAATTTCGCAAGTAAAATAACTAGAAGTATCCTCCCTTCCGTTTTCTTCATCTGAAGACATTTCCTTTAGTGCATTATATATTTTGGAGTATCATTTGTTGTCAGCTTATTTGTTCGTATAATTCAAGACATTATTCCAGGGCTTAATTTCAAAAATTAGAAGTACCGGAGCCCTATAGAAGACCTTCAGGAAAGAGGAACAAAAATAAATAAAGAATAAGATGACTAATAATCATTAACTAAAAATTAAATAACTCATTATTAAAATAATTAAGGGTTAAGTAATTAAATCTTAAAATTAAAATTAATAATGCAAAGAGATAATTAAATTTAATAAGTAATTTTAATATAATTTTATATAAAAATAAAGTTTTCAAGATCAAATTTACTAAATTATTGTTCAGTTACATAAAAGAAGTTCTTATTTAGGGCTCCGGTGCGCTCCGGCTAAAATTATAAATTATCCCTAAAACTAAGAAGTACCGGAGCCAGGCTCCTGTGGGCTCCGGCGCAACTTAGGCCCTGCATTATTCGTCATCCAAGGATCCACTGTAATCTTCGAGATCTTTAATAAATTACATAAGGATGAAACATTCAGTTTTCAAATCCCATGAACCTTGCAAAGCTTCGAAACTCAAAAACTCGAATCTTTCTTTATTCCAGTCTATTGAATACTAATAAGTTTTTAAAAAAAATCGTTAAACTTTTTAATACAGAGCTCTGGAAGGATAAGTTTTGCTGACATCCATTAGAAACGCTTGTAAAATACCTTACGTTAATTAATAAGTTATTAGGATTTAAGATTTTACTATAGCTTCTTTTTTTTTGTATTCCTTATTAGAATGTAAATTCGGTATTGGGTTTGTGTGTATTTAACCTCAAGGCTTGGTTTCTTTAGATTAGAGAAACTGGTAATCGGGTCTTGGCTGTTAGTATTTCTTCCAGCTCTGCTTAAAAGTGGTATTTTGTCTTTAGCATTCTCCCTAGCCGATGTTTTGAATACGCGCCGGTAAAATGTCTGCCCAACGTAAATGTATGATAGTCTTATTACGGTCATGTTTCAGTGTTAATTGTGCCAGTTCGTTTTTAGGAGTTCGTTACATTAGGAACGAGAAAAAAAGTTAACTCAGAAGTATCTTTACCTAAGACGTAGCGATAACCTAGAAGAGCAGGATTTTAACAACTCTAACTTCCAGTCCCATAGCAACCCTGTACGTTAATTAAAAACCCTGTACGTTAATTAAAAAAATAACCCTTTACGTTAATTAAAAAAAAGAAGCGGTTTCCAATCTGAATGGCACTAATCAGCAGAAGCCTCTCGCAACTTTAAAGTACCTCTTAAAATAAACAAGCTTTTGCTTTTTACGAACCAAAATTACGAAGTTTGTAACTCAGTGTAGTAGTTATCAATGCTCATCACTGAGAAAATCCTTTCTATACACTTGCTTTAATTTCAGGAAAGTGGAAATGAAAATAAAATAATATAATAAAAAACTGAACTGTTATAAACTTCAACGTTCCGTTACCGTCTCCCGTACGTGTTCTAGTGGTGTAATGGTTTCAACTAGCTTTGTAAATCCACGATTTGAATCCCTGCGTGGTCATATATAGTTCCCACGCTCCCTTCGAGAACCTATAAACCTCTCCAGTCCGACGAACATGTGGTAGAACCATCACCCCTAGATCGACCGGTCTCGGCCTGTGCCAGTTGCCCGTTAATAGAGGAATAGAGGATTTAGTTTCTCCTATTTCTCTGCGTCTGCATAGAACTTAGCATTAGAAAGGAGTGGGTTTTACCTCCGAGATGGTATAATGATTTTACGTGCTTTTGGTTTAAAAAACTGTAATGGTTTGTACAAATCATATTGAGAAAGAAAAAGCCTTACAATTTAAGAACCTCATTACATATTTTTAATATTAAGTTTAATAGCTATTTAATTTAAATATACATACAATATATATGTTGTATGATTAAATTCATTAGGTGCGAAACAAGTACTACTACTTGCGCAATTGCTGCAAAGTTAGTAATAATAATTATTCCTAAACAATATTGAATTGAATATATCTCTAATTTAATTAAAGGAGAATTTAAAAGAGTGAGTTATTTTGAAAGATGTTTGAAGTAACTTGAAAAAAATGTAATAATGTTTTAAAGGGGACTGGGAAATCATCATGAAAAACAAAATTTCAATTGTAAAAGGAATATAATCAATTAATATTATTAGGAAATAAATTATATTATATATCTAATTTATTCCTAAACAATTGATTAATTGATTATATCCTTATCTATATATATATATATATTATATGTGATGGACCAGCTTTTGTCCGAATAAAAATTAGATTGGTGAAGAAATATAGAGGTAGCGCAGCTTAAATTATCAGACGATAGTTAAAAACAGGATCCATTATTATTTTTCAGGAGAAAATAGCAGTTACAAAAATTAAGATCTCCGGGTTAATTAAAAAAGAACTTTTTGTATGACGTTTACTGCTCATTACAGGAAAAAAAGCCCCCGATATATTCTTTTGCGAGTCCTTTTATAGTCTCTGGAAGGCGGAGCTCCAAGAAATGACGTCAGCCTCGTCAGCCAATCCAGTCGCTTTAAATATTTCCAGAACATTCTATAACGTACGTGTAGAAAGGCGGGAAAAAACTTGACTATGGGGCTGTGGATTTTTCCCGTTTCACTCGCCGTTTAACATGAAAAGACTACAGTTAGAATTTAAGTGTATTCTTGCTATGGAATTTTGTTATTACAAATATTAAGTATCATTAAAACTTTTTAATACCAATAAGAAACAAAAATTCAAATTAAAGCATAAATTATGAAAATAAATTTTTATAAGTATTTTTAAGTATTTTAAGATACTTCTAGCTATTGCTAAAAACCATAAAAAAGAAAAATCCTGAATCGCAAAAATACCAAAATCAAATGTAAACATTTTTAAGAATGGAAAAAGTAGTTATTGTCATTGACTGCAGATTGACTTGTCAAGGGGAACAAACCAATCTGCCGTCAATTAACAACAACTAAATTAAGCGAGAGTGTTTCGTCATTCCTCCAAGTAAAGACCCAATTAATATTCTGAAGAGCCAGATCACAAGTCATGTATAATCTAAATCAATAGAAAGAAATTAGTCTGTTTTAGCAAAAAGATTTCATAAACAAAATAAAATTAGTAAGATAATCTTTTAAATTAAATTCATTAAGAACGCAACTAAACGGGATCCTCACTTTAGAAGAAGCATTCCCCAACACTCTCAACTTCAAACTCAAACTCAAATGTAAAAACAAAATTGATACATTCTTTAATATTAGAATGTTAAATTCAAAATCAAAAG